TCAAAAATTAAGTTTTTATACTTACAATTTAATCAAAACTTGAATTTTAACTTGTTTGTTCAAATGAACATTTTTTGAAATGAATTAAGAAGAATTCTGGTAAAAAGGATAGCAATATGAAAAAAATGTAGTTAAAATTCTTATAAGAAATTAAGGGCATTTTGGAATAATTTGAAGTACTTCAAATCAGTATTTTCAATTAGACTGCACTAGAATGTATGCATTCTAGTGCAGTCTAACTGTTGAAAGAAAATAAATATGTATGTGGAAGAGATTAAAAGATGAAAAAAACCTAGTAATATCCAATTAGAGTTTTAAGTTTATCTAAATATCAAAACATTTTTTCATCTACAAAAGTCAAATAAATATATTGTGTTATTTAATATTATATAAAATTATATTTTATCTTTAAAGCATAACTAGTAAATATCTTATTTTTCAAAATTATGGCATCACTCTGAAAGTAATACCACAGAAATTTTTTTAATTAATTATTATTCTAAAAATATAAATTAACATTAAAGTTCTGAATAAATATCACAAGATGCATACTTTAACAATAGATTCCTGTTTTTTCATTTAATCATCTTCAGTTTTAACTATTTATTTTTACTCTGAAAACATGTTATCATAAACATTATTCAGTTCATATATATACACTCATGCTATATAAGAAAAATATAGGTATATATATATATATATATATATATATATATGTAGGAAGACCAGAATTAAAGCTTACAAATACAAATTCAATTATATTCATAACATTTCACATGAAAAATGAATTATGTAACGATAAAAAAAGACTTTTCTTTACTAGACATAACTGTTTACAAAATTGCAAAAAACAATATCTTGCATATTGTTCAAAATACCATATTTAATATACAGTAATACCTTAGTTTTCGTTGACTTCGGTTATCGCTGATTTTTTTGTGAAAAATTTATCTCGGTTTTTGTCAATTGTCTTGGTGTGCCCAAGAGACCTCGCTGCCAATTTTGTGAAAACAAAAAGCAACCTACGCATTTTCTGGCTCAGTATGGCGTTATTTCTCGTTCTGTGAGCATTACCCTGTGACAGCCCACCATTGACCAATGTTTCCGTTCCCTGAACACTGGGAGTTCAGTCGTACATTTGCACTTCGCCAGGACAGGCTGGTCACATGGAGTTTTCCGGGTTTTCTCCACATCTGTAACACCTAAATAGGGGCCAGTTACCCTTAAACAGACCTCCTGGAAGGCATTATTCCCCATGATATAACCATCATAAATGCATACAACTACTATTACTTGACAATTATGTCACACTTTACCACAGGAGGATATAGGCTAGAAGCTCATGTCCAACTAACTTCTACAAGACAAGACATTACCCCGCATCTAGCCAAACAATTCCATTGCTTTCCTTTAGATTAGTTTGTTTTTATATTAATTTCTTATTGCTTTTAGTATTTAACACTATATTAATTCTCTATAAAATGTGTTTTTGGTATTATTTTGGACTGTCTAGAACAAATTAATTGAATTTACATTGATTCGTATGGAAATAATTGCCTCTGTTTTCATCGATTGTTTTCGGATGAATTATCAACGAAAACCAAGGTACCACTGTATTTAAACTGTCTAAAAACATGATTTAATCTCTGCATTACTCAAATAATTTTCTAGTCCTTAATTTGTGCAGTAAAATTCAAAACAAGGTAGAAAAATTTATAAATAAACTTCTTCAAAAAGCATATTGTTCTAACAAATTTAGCATGTTTGTTTGTACTGATTAACCTATATTTTATTGAAAAAAAAAATTATTCTGTGTCATCACAATTATTATCATATTATAAGAAACAATAAGAAACACAACTTACAAATGATATCTTAATATGTAAACTTTATGTTTTTGTAAAATATCAGTGAAAGTATATTCTATATAAAGAATATTCTATATAAATATATAGAATATTGTGTATGTATGAAGTAATTCTGTATTTGAAATTGTAAAAAATAAAATTCGAAGAAAATCAGAACATAATTCATACTTAATTCAGTTTGAATTTTTCCTAAGAGAAAAAGGGGCTCTTATACCAAAACAATTAAAACTTCAAGAGAATAGATTAGTGATATGTATACTTATTTACAGAAAGTGTATAATGTCAGCCTACATAATAGATCATAATGGCCAGAATCAGAACTGAACAACAACAACAAAAAAAGTACTTTTAAAATAAAGTGACCAGGTATTTTTCTTCCAAAAAGTAGGTTTCTTTGCCTACAATGCTGGCTCATATAATAGCTAAAGATGGGTTATCTTTCAATGTATTTTGGACATCTGAATATATATACATTGTGCACTACAACCTGAATATAGGTTTTAACACCAGTAATCTAATATTGAACAATTTCTTTACTGAGATACTAGTATTGATAAAACTCTTTGATATTGCAATCCCTTGCCACAACTGGTTAATGATTTAAAAATAAATTATTAAAGAAGATAATATTAGAAGATAATATTAATAAAGAGTCTGATAAATCAAACTTTGTTGGAATGATGAAACAGAAATGGATGAACACAGGTTTATTATAATGACAGTATGCATTTCAGACAGCCTGTCCCTCTTCAGCCACGCTTGTTACAATTAGAAGGGTTTACAAGAGTCTAAAATACAAGTGGTTCATCCTTACAAACATTGATTAATAATTATAACAACTTAAAGGTTAGATCTTACAGATGCATTATTTACAGTATAAGAAAGACTCAAAATAAAGACATCCACATTTTTGGCAAAAAATAGAATTTATTATTTATGTATGTATGAAATGTATCTTTAAGCTATTATAATTCTAAGGATAATAATTGTAAGGATAATAATTGTAAGGATAATAATTGTAAGGATAAACCACTTGTATTTTATACTCCTGTAAACCCACCTAATTGTAACAATTTTGGCTGAAGAGGAACAGACAGACTGTCCAAAATGCACACTGTTGTTATAATAAACTTATATTCACCCATTTCTATTTGATTACTCTGACATCAATAGTGTGTGATAAGTCGTCCACAGAAATCAAACTTTCTTTATAGACTTATCTTCAAACTGGTTTATCATTAAAAATATATCAAACATTAAAAGCAAGATATGCAAAATTTGATTAAAATTTTTTCTGATAAATTCAGCCAACATTAACTTATCATGGTCATTTATGAAAATTACATCAACAAACTAGTGATGAAAATTAGAATAGATGTAAATGTTAGTAACTAGTAACAAGCATATAATCCACAAAATAAACATGATTCAGTTCAATAAATTCTGTTTACTTTATGGATAAAACGAGTTAAACCAAAAGTAAGGAAGTGACAATAAAATCAAACATCTTGACTATAATTTTTTTTTTCTTTAGTGTTAAGGAAATATTTCTAGTAACTAACACATATTTATTAGAATTTATGAAATAATAAAAAAAGGCTGTGCAACCAGAAAAATGATCCAGAAAAGAAAATCATTCATCTTAGTAACATACAACTACAGAAAGGTATGCCAATAATATAATGCTTGCCACAAATTCAAAAGTGGCACTCACCAGTTTTAGGATTTAACCTTATTCTCTAGTTCTTGCTCCTAATGACTTTTTCTATATTTAAGGCTAAAAATGGATTTAAATGAAAGACAATTTAACTATGAAAACAATTCTATTCATACAAATTAAAATTTTAAAGACCTGTTTTAAAAATTAAAAAAATTGATTACATTGTACACAAACTGAAGGTTTTTATTTTAAAAACTGCAAATTTTAATTTCATTAAAAAGTATTTGATTTTTTCCTTAATTTCTCATAACAATTACTAAAAACATAAGGCAGAAGTTACACTTAGGTAAATGATCGCAATATTGAATTGTGCTACTTTATTGCTATTAAAAATTAAATTCTAAGTAATTTGTTACTAGAAGTAGGTATCAGGCACTATCTCTTATAAAATTTAATAAATTGGCTTTGAAATGTTTATGATGTGCAAACCTCTTAACATCGTTACCTGTAGAAGAGTCCGACCGGCGGCCACATTTTTTGTACAGAGAACAGGATCCCTAAAACAGCCACAAAACGGGTTCCCCCTGGTGCCAAACGTGAGGACACCCCAGAAATACTTGGCCTAGAACTTTTCTTAAAGATTTGAAAATGCTCAATATGACTTGGGAGGAAGCTGAAGCCCTCGCCAACAATCAAAATCGACAGAAGATAATTATTGCCAGTATGCTACCTAACATTGGAGGTACTGCTACTACTGAGATGTTTATAAACGTATATATAATCTTAGGTGATTTGTATATGTATACATATATAAATAAATGACCTAAAAGTAAATTCTGCCATTATTTTAATATAAATCTGCAAAATTAAAAGAAAACAATATCAGAATCATGAATGTTAAGAAGCACAGAACACATAATTATACACATAGTGTGAAATATATACAATTTATACATTTTTTAACAATAGTTGAGTATGTTTATATTTAAACAGAACATTTTAAAGTGAAACACTTATACACTGAATACATCCTTAGATAAATACAACGAAAACTTGCTAACAGAAAGCTACAATATATACAGAGCAAATGATTGTTAAGAAATATTCAGCCAAACACATCTACGTACTGTACAAAAACAATACATTCATTTGGCTTATTCGCCAACATTTTCATCAACTTGCTAAATGAAAAATTCGTCGTGAAATTTATCATATTAAAAATTGATTTCAAAATCACTTCCATAAAGATTATTGATTTAGAATTATTAATAATGTCTTTCTTTACGTTTGGCAATAAAATACATCGTTTATATAAACAATATTAAATAATATATATAAAAAGGTCATACGATCTATGACGTTGACGTGTCCAATCGACTTTTCTTAAAGGTATACCTTTCACTGCAATATGTCGGTCGATAAATTCATTCACTTACAATATATATATCAATTTCAGCGATTGTGGTACGTACCTCTTATTACTACTGAAGTTCTTCAACAAGTTCGACGCAATCAACTTGTAAAAATGTTATGAATCAAATCTCGACTTTCTTTAGCTCCAGGTTCAATACGAATTGACTCGATTTCGTTGTAATCGTTACAACGCCACCTTCTCGTTCGTATAAATCGTATAATGTTTGAATTTTTCCTAAGAGAAAAAGGGGCTCTTATACCAAAACAATTAAAACTTCAAGAGAATAGATTAGTGATATGTATACTTATTTACAGAAAGTGTATAATGTCAGCCTACATAATAGATCATAATGGCCAGAATCAGAACTGAACAACAACAACAAAAAAAGTACTTTTAAAATAAAGTGACCAGGTATTTTTCTTCCAAAAAGTAGGTTTCTTTGCCTACAATGCTGGCTCATATAATAGCTAAAGATGGGTTATCTTTCAATGTATTTTGGACATCTGAATATATATACATTGTGCACTACAACCTGAATATAGGTTTTAACACCAGTAATCTAATATTGAACAATTTCTTTACTGAGATACTAGTATTGATAAAACTCTTTGATATTGCAATCCCTTGCCACAACTGGTTAATGATTTAAAAATAAATTATTAAAGAAGATAATATTAGAAGATAATATTAATAAAGAGTCTGATAAATCAAACTTTGTTGGAATGATGAAACAGAAATGGATGAACACAGGTTTATTATAATGACAGTATGCATTTCAGACAGCCTGTCCCTCTTCAGCCACGCTTGTTACAATTAGAAGGGTTTACAAGAGTCTAAAATACAAGTGGTTCATCCTTACAAACATTGATTAATAATTATAACAACTTAAAGGTTAGATCTTACAGATGCATTATTTACAGTATAAGAAAGACTCAAAATAAAGACATCCACATTTTTGGCAAAAAATAGAATTTATTATTTATGTATGTATGAAATGTATCTTTAAGCTATTATAATTCTAAGGATAATAATTGTAAGGATAATAATTGTAAGGATAATAATTGTAAGGATAAACCACTTGTATTTTATACTCCTGTAAACCCACCTAATTGTAACAATTTTGGCTGAAGAGGAACAGACAGACTGTCCAAAATGCACACTGTTGTTATAATAAACTTATATTCACCCATTTCTATTTGATTACTCTGACATCAATAGTGTGTGATAAGTCGTCCACAGAAATCAAACTTTCTTTATAGACTTATCTTCAAACTGGTTTATCATTAAAAATATATCAAACATTAAAAGCAAGATATGCAAAATTTGATTAAAATTTTTTCTGATAAATTCAGCCAACATTAACTTATCATGGTCATTTATGAAAATTACATCAACAAACTAGTGATGAAAATTAGAATAGATGTAAATGTTAGTAACTAGTAACAAGCATATAATCCACAAAATAAACATGATTCAGTTCAATAAATTCTGTTTACTTTATGGATAAAACGAGTTAAACCAAAAGTNGTAATTAAATACACGTAAAAATTGCACTTTTTACTTTGTATTCAATACGCGTTATCATTTTATAATGACGTGTGTTAATAAAATATATAACATGACGTGTCGCTCTTTCATTGCGGATTATAGAATAATTAACAAAATTAAGACCATTGCCTTTAATTTTTTTTAAAAAAGTAAAACATTAAAAGTCTTTTTATTCGTCTAACACTACAGGAAATTACACAAACATAATTTTACTTCCTTTTCCTGCTAAACATTTTTTTTAATCAAATCGAAAGAATAGTTGATAACACAATATAAAAAAGTCATTCATGAAATGTTTTTAACGGTCGATAATTCTCAAAATTATGAAATATTTGCAATAAATACTATTTACAAAAGAATATATCATTTTTGTAATATGCCAATAAACTAAACTTAATACACGTATAAATTTGAAATATTTCATATCAAAGTTCAAGTACCGGTATATGATACGATCAAAAATTCGAGAATGGGAGCTAAAAATAATCGTTCAATGATGCTCAGAAGACTCTTAGCTCCGCCTACTAAGCCACTCAGAATTCTGATTTAAGTGTTCTGCGTTACTGAACACAGCTGTGCAATCAAATCCGTACGAGTCGAAAAACCCCAGTATTTTTCGGGGATTGTCCGTCCGAATACGTCGAGCCTGTCTCCCGCACCTGACGGCCCCATTATAGGCTTGGCCAAACCCACGAAGGACTTGCTAAAAACCCTCTCTTGGTGTCCACAAGGCGAAAAGAATTAAAAAAAATAAATAAAATTTTCCCAAATAATACTAAACAACTACGTATAGAAAATGTTTTTATTAATTCATGTTTTTAACACGATATTACATCATAAATGGATATGTTTTAAGTAGTAACGAACCAGGAAAGGCCAGGGAGACTTTGTCCTTCTGACCTTTGTAAGTAAATAAATGAAAATAAAATCAAATAAGTGAATAAGTAGATGGAATAATATTTAAATGTAACAAATGAACTTACTCACATGTATTTACAATATCTGAGTTTACTCTTCATCCGCAGAGCTAGTAGGTTTGAAATATTACTGTATAAAAAAATAGAACAGCAATGAAAATAAATAAAACGAAGTATGAACCAACTAAATGTCATAAATTACACTGAAATTTTATGATAGAAAGTACCAAAGTGAAAAATCATGTATAACATATACAATGTCACTGAAACACCAAACAAGTTGCATTAAACGGTGTTTTGTCCTACTCCCACTTTTATTAGTGCAAAATTTTCACAATACACTTTGAATTCATAATATCGAGAATTAGTTTTTACTATTTTCGTCTTACGTAAACATTAAGACGACCTTTTACCATGCCAATTATCAGTGGCGTGGCGTGACATTTGATGATAGGGAAGCTGTGTTTCTGTAAGAAGCCGACATCCAGGGGCAATCAGTCAATTGCGCGTCAGTGATGGTCTAGGGTCCATTCATATCATTTATTCATAAGCCAGTAAAAACCGTAGACTTTTCTAAATGTATTTTTAATATCACAATTACATTCCGAATCGCTAGCCACGATATAAGGGCTACAATTAAAAATAAAATAATAAAAACTTACTTGGTGAAATAAAATGTGTGATGGATGTATCGGTACATACCTGCTACAAAATATACTTCAATTGTATGAATATACACTGGGTGACCGGTTAACGAACATAATCCGTTCCAAGACTTTGTTCGCTATCCGAATTGTTCGTTAACCGATTATCGATTTACCATAGGTTTCTATGAGAATTTGATTAATTCGTTCTGGAAACCCCCCAAAAATAAAATATATATACTTTCTTACTACGTTTATTTATATGTAATAATAAAAATACATATATACAGTCTTGCATTTTTATTAGTGATGTTTTTTCTGTTTATGGAGGTTAAAGAATCTGTCTAATGTCAATTGCTTTTCTGTCTTCAGGATTTTTCAGAAGTAATTAAATTAATATCATTGTAATTGTAGAGATCCCTAAGCCTATTAACCTAAACCTGGTTTGGATGCCATTTTAAGACCGTTGTTCTGACATCCTCCCACTTCTTTAAAAGATCTTTAATAGCAGATATCGGCATAAATCCTCATTTTCAGAAGAAAACATAAAAGAATTGTTTCTATCAGAAATATAAAAAGCTGGAATTACAAGGGAGAATTTCAAAGTTCGGGGGGAATACTATCCGATCAGTATAATACTGGGTAGAACGTCGATGTCGACGTCTCCCGCGCTCCGAAAAGTTTCGAATTGTTGCCTGAATCTAAAGGAAGACTAATCGGTATTCGTTATTTTACGTCGCTTCTTCTTGTGTTTGTTCAGTGAAGTGTTCGTTATCCGAACATGTGTTCGTTGTCCAATCATAAAAATCTTTCGCGAAAGTGTTCGTTATCCGATTTGTTGGTTAACCGATCTGTTCGTTAACCGATAACCCACTGTACTTTTAAAGAAAATTATAATTAAATATAGCTTTGTAAAGAAACGTACATAAAAATATAAAATATTTTTTACTTTTTAAATCTTAAAACAATGCACTTAGTCAAATAGCTCCCTACGAGTGGCTAATGAATGGAATCGAAGACGGTTGCAGAGCGTGCACACACACGGACTGCCAAATCCCCAGGTTGCCGATACCGGTCAATGTCAAATACCTCTTTTGTCGCATTACTAGTACAGTAGACCCCTTGTGGCGGCCGGATGGCCGAGCGGTCAAGGTAACAGCCTACCGCTCTGGGGGACCCGGATTCGAATCCGATCGGGTCGAAAAATCCCCAGGAATTTTTCGGGGGTGGTCCGTTCGGATATGTCGGTCTCCGTCTCTCACCACCCGGCAGCCCCATTGTGGGCCTGGCCGAACCCATAATGGGCTTGCAGAAAGAGACCCTCTTAGTGCCCACAGCTATATAGCTATGCTATATATATATACTACGCTTTAATTCCTATTACTTGCTAAGGTTATATTTATAAGCTTTAGTAAATAACAGAAATTAAAGCATACACTTGGACAACTTCTTGCATTAAGTCAGCCGAAGGCTTTTATTTTCAGACTTTGATATTCTATTTTTTTTTTTTTTTTTAAATTAAAGATGCTAATCCATGTCAATAATAAGAAGTTGTGTCTAAGTTAGATTATTATTGGCATTATTCAATCCAAGTCTTTATCCAAACGAGTTGTTATATAAAGTCGTGAATTTAAAACAGTGTGATCCCGAATAGGGCAGCATTAAAGTATTAAACAATTCTTTTTTTTTCTTTTGAAGTCTCCTGTTTAATTCCTTTAAACCCATTACATAGATACAGAAAAAATATTAATGCGAAATGACAGGAATCCCTTAAGGAGGCGAGATGTGGCCATTTGACCGGGCATGTCTTACATACTGGAATTTAATATTTTCAAATTAATAAAAATGTTTAGCTAAATTTTAGATCTAGTATTAGTTACGACAACTTTTATTGGCTGGATATTAACAGAAAATTTTTCAGTGCCTAAAGATAGAAACTTTCTTTTAAAAATAATAATTAAATAATTAATAGAAACTTTCTATTTGGTCTTATGTTCAGTTTCAAAAATATTTTACGAAATTTCTGTCATGTTGTATTTCCGTCAGCATTTTGCTATACTTTTGTGTATACTTTTCAGAATGA